GATTGTTTGTTAATGATCTTAACTATCGCACCCCGCGTAAACGCGTTGCAAGTGCTGCAAAAAATTCAGCGGTGAACTAATTTTTTAGTCCGCTCTTCTTCTCCCGGTGGAGTAAGGAACTTAGCTCTTTGAGCCGTTCTTTTAAATTTCTCTCGTTGGTTTGGGGCCTTTTTTCCTTCAGGTCCCCGATGATCCGGGTTCGCTCCTTCAAGAGTCGAGCTCGCTTTCCACTTCCTTGTTTTTGGTGCTGGGGTCTGTGGAATGCGCGTGAGCTGCTCGTCCCTGTCCTGGGCTCGATGACGCTCCCGTAAAATGGTCCTTGATTTATAATCAGCGATGCTGATTGGCCTGGGACCGTCCTTTGGCTGTGCCTCTAGAGCCTCCTCTAGAGTGGGTTTATCTTTCTGAGGTACGGGTGTACCATCCATAGCATCCCACGTTGACACAGTGGGCGATAGGCCTACCGTGTTTCGCTCACACTCGGTGGCGCAGTAGACGGCTGTCTACCGCACTTTCTTCCTCACCTCGCCTTTTTCCAATCGGCGGCGCAGTAGACGGGGTTGTTTTTTTTTTAATTTTTAAATATATATACTTTTTTATGTGTACTTTTATGTTTATTTAAATTCACAGGTAATGCCCATTTAGGTACTGTTTATTTCACTTCACACGTAAACCATCAGGCTACACACGACAATATATGTATATAAATTATGCTTTTTAGTGTTCGTAGTTAACTATTCCCTGGAGGGGTCCCGCGCAGCAGTCACTAGTATTTTATAATTTATATTCCCTGAATGGGGTCCCACGCAGCAGTCACTGTAATCGTGCAGCTCTGGGGGTTCCTTATAAATATGTGGGCCGGTTGGCCGTGGTCTTCAAGGTGAAGAATTAGGATGAATTGGTCGGAAAGGATACTAGAGACTCAGTTAGTGCAAAATAATAAGAGATATTAACGGCGATGGCCGGAGTAATGCTTATGAGCAGTGTGCTCTTTATTCAAGATATAAAAAAGAACTGAATACGAATTCTGGACTTAAAGCTAACAGAAGCTAACTCAAAGCGACCACGCAAAAGTGCTGTGTTTGCCGGCTATGCACGAGCATTTGGTCAAATGCTGTGTCAGCGATTTGGCCGGTGCATCGACTCTGTCCGGTTGACTTTAGTTAACTTGTACATATGTCGTTTGTCTGCGTATGTAAAATCAAGTAGGTTTATTTTGGCCTTGAAGTTCAAAGGTGTGTCGAAAGACGAAAGAACCTTATTGGCTGAACCTTTTATTTTATTTCTTAGTATTCCTAGTGCTTGGTAGTGTTTGTACCGTACTTCTCACTTTTACCCTCAAAATCCGGCATATCTAAGGACTCACTACACGAAATACTTATTCTGATTTCGGCATCTTTATAAGTTTCTACTTCTGGTGTGCTGATATTTACACCACATAAGTGCTTCTAAATGTCTAGTAATTTTTGTTCGAAACTTCTTTCTTGTGTGGCGAGTGCGCTTGCAATTGCGCCTTCTACAATGGCTTTTAACTGCTCTTTGGTCTTTGCCATATTTGAACTGTTTGGATTTTCCTGCAAATCTTCCGCGGTTCTGTGCTTTCGGAATTCGTTTAACAAGTCTTTTATTTCACTATCACTCATATGTTTTTTTGAACACAATGAACAAAAATTTTTGTTCCTTTTGTATTTAATTAATTAATTACCTCAGTGGTACGCTCCCAAGTTTTTTATTTTTAATTCTGATTTCTTAATTCTGTTACATAAATTAAAAGAAGTTTTTAAATTGATCATGAAAAAAGCGATCTTTTCTTTATTGAGTTGGTTTAAGAACTGACTTTACTTAAGCGAACCAATTATTGATTGAATTACGATATTGTATTATGAAGGAGCCTTGCAGTTGCAGAAGTTTTTCATCAAGCGAGACTGGCCCATTGAAGTCGTTTAGTAGTATGGTGCCTGGCAGTATTTCCTCGAAGTCCGGTATGTGTTGATTGTTGATCATCTTACATTCTAGTTCTCGAAGGTTCAGGAGAGCGTTTACGCAAGTATCATTGCTTAAATCTAACAAATTTTCTGAATTACAAATTGTCTTATTATTATGGGATTCGCAAGGATTTTTAGTTGCAAATAATTGTCTCTTACATTCTAACAAATTTTCGTATTTTATATCATTGATTATTTGGGCTTTTTTCTTGCTTTAATTTTTAAAGTTTTACATCTATCTGTTTTAATGGTTGGGAGGCTAATAATATGAATGAGGTCGTTGCCATTTGTGGCTAATTTAACTTTTGCATATTCCAGTAATTCTTCTATGTTAAAAAAATAAGTCATTTTCTTTTTTAAATATATTTTCTACTACTGTGGTTTCTTTACTTGTGAATACAAATAAATTTATTGTGTTAGATTTGGCCCATGTAATTGCGTATATAATGTTGTTAATTTCTTCTTTTATTAATGGAATTTTATATTTAAAAATATTTGCTTTCTGATTGACGATTTCTTCCGAGCTCTGGGTAATTTTCAGTATTGCATAATAATGCATTTAATAAATTAATTAATCTGTTTATTATTACTTGTTTATTGTTGTTTTCTAATTGCTCATTTATCTTGCTTTCTTTCTTTCTCGTAATCGTGGTGGTCCTGAGATCCCGCCAGCCATTTCCATGCTGTACCTATTGCTTCTATTGCCCTTTTTTGTCTTTTTTGAGTTTGAAGTATGCGTAAATCAGTTTGAATATGTTTTAATTCGTAGGAAAGGTAGGGGTGTAATGGATGCGATGAGGTGAGTGAATGAAATGATTCGTAGCTGGTTAAGGTAAAGATGTGGATGATTTTAAATGTTCCGTGAGACAGACAGACAGACAGACAGACAGACAGACAGACAGACAGACAGACAGACAGACAGACAGACAGACAGACAGACAGACAGACAGACAGACAGACAGACAGACAGACAGACAGACAGACAGACAGACAGACAGACAGACAGACAGACAGACAGACAGACAGACAGACAGACAGACAGACAGACAGACAGACAGACAGACAGACAGACAGACAGACAGACAGACAGACAGACAGACAGACAGACAGACAGACAGACAGACAGACAGACAGACAGACAGACAGACAGACAGACACGACAGACAGACAGACAGACAGACAGACAGACAGACAGACAGACAGACAGACAGACAGACAGACAGACAGACAGACAGACAGACAGACAGACAGACAGACAGACAGACAGACAGACAGACAGACAGACAGACAGACAGACAGACAGACAGACAGACAGACAGACAGACAGACAGACAGACAGACAGACAGACAGACAGACAGACAGACAGACAGACAGACAGACAGACAGACAGACAGACAGACAGACAGACAGACAGACAGACAGACAGACAGACAGACAGACAGACAGACAGACAGACAGACAGACAGACAGACAGACAGACAGACAGACAGACAGACAGACAGACAGACAGACAGACAGACAGACAGACAGACAGACAGACAGACAGACAGACAGACAGACAGACAGACAGACAGACAGACAGACAGACAGACAGACAGACAGACAGACAGACAGACAGACAGACAGACAGACAGACAGACAGACAGACAGACAGACAGACAGACAGACAGACAGACAGACAGACAGACAGACAGACAGACAGACAGACAGACAGACAGACAGACAGACAGACAGACAGACAGACAGACAGACAGACAGACAGACAGACAGACAGACAGACAGACAGACAGACAGACAGACAGACAGACAGACAGACAGACAGACAGACAGACAGACAGACAGACAGACAGACAGACAGACAGACAGACAGACAGACAGACAGACAGACAGACAGACAGACAGACAGACAGACAGACAGACAGACAGACAGACAGACAGACAGACAGACAGACAGACAGACAGACAGACAGACAGACAGACAGACAGACAGACAGACAGACAGACAGACAGACAGACAGACAGACAGACAGACAGACAGACAGACAGACAGACAGACAGACAGACAGACAGACAGACAGACAGACAGACAGACAGACAGACAGACAGACAGACAGACAGACAGACAGACAGACAGACAGACAGACAGACAGACAGACAGACAGACAGACAGACAGACAGACAGACAGACAGACAGACAGACAGACAGACAGACAGACAGACAGACAGACAGACAGACAGACAGACAGACAGACAGACAGACAGACAGACAGACAGACAGACAGACAGACAGACAGACAGACAGACAGACAGACAGACAGACAGACAGACAGACAGACAGACAGACAGACAGACAGACAGACAGACAGACAGACAGACAGACAGACAGACAGACAGACAGACAGACAGACAGACAGACAGACAGACAGACAGACAGACAGACAGACAGACAGACAGACAGACAGACAGACAGACAGACAGACAGACAGACAGACAGACAGACAGACAGACAGACAGACAGACAGACAGACAGACAGACAGACAGACAGACAGACAGACAGACAGACAGACAGACAGACAGACAGACAGACAGACAGACAGACAGACAGACAGACAGACAGACAGACAGACAGACAGACAGACAGACAGACAGACAGACAGACTTTTTTATTGATTTTATGACAAACTAATTTTTCTTTACTTAAGACACAAATTTTTATACCCGTTACTCGTAACAGCTAGAAGGAAGTCGATATAGCCATATGTCCATCTGTCCGTCTGCCTGTCTGTCCGTATTTACATTTACTCCTATGTTAGCAGTTAGTTTGGTTTCCAGTTTTCGTTGATGCGGGTATTTAACCGATTGTGTGTTCTTCCAAGCCCCGGTGCGCGCGAAAATAACATATATTCAAATCTTAGTTTTGAACTATATTTTTGGCGAGGAACAAAATTCTTAATTAAGGCCTACAAGCCGCGTCCTCCTGCTTGAGGGGTTCGACATCGTCCGGGCGTTGCTTCTAGTTGTCTTCGGCGCTGCTCATCCCGCTCTCGGGTGGGGAGTCAACCGGGTTGAGGGCACCCAAGTGAATTTCCCAAGCCGCGTTAGCTGCTATGACAGCGTCGTGCAAGGGTGGCTGATATCCGCCAGCGCCAAAGCGGCCATCGCGTGGAACGGATGAGTCGTCGGATGAGTCGCCGGATGAGTCGTCGGAGGAGTCGTCGGTGGAGTCGTCAGATGAGTCTTCGGACGAAGCAGGCTCGGTCCTTCCCGTCTCCCGAGCCTCCTCGAAGCATCTATCCAGGTGCCCTGGCGCAAAGGAGTGCTGGTCCTGGGTGCGTAGCCAGGAGGCTACCGACCAGTCGACCTCGTCATCGACCCGCAGCCGCATTCGTGCCTCAGTTGGGGTGGTACTTTCGATGGTGTCCTCGGCGGTGGGTTCCCCTACCAGTGGCGGGAAGCTCGGGAGCAAAAAAGCCACCGTGGACTTGGCATCCTGCGAGCTCGCCGCCTGGCTACCGGGTCTCATGGGCTGGGTACTCTCCCTGAAGTCGCCATCGTGAGCTCCGACGTCTATCACCCTTGGTGACGCCGAACCACTGGGGTTATAACTTGGTCCCGAAACACTGGTTGGAGCCGACGACAGCACCGAGTCATGTTGGCTGCTCGCGGTGTCACCACTGTGGTAGATGGGTTGGTAGAGGCCGTCCTTATTCATGCTTCTCTTACGTTAACAATGGGTTGAATTGACAGCTTGAATTTTTTTTTATATAGAGTGATTAGGTTTATGTTAAGGGTGTTCACCCATGTCACTTTTTTAGACTTTTTATTAACAATTTGCTGTAATGAGCCTTTTAAACTTAGAGCTGTGATTCTTGTAATATATTTTTTCAATATTTAACCTAAGTAAATTTAGAAATTATAAACATTTTTACAAATAAAAACTATCCGCTGTGACCATATTTAAAGTGACACAATAAAAAAAAAAGTAATTTTATGGTGACCACGATTTCGGTCGAACGGGGCATCTAAAGCGGGAACGAAAACGCTATTACAATCTGGATGAATATATGTACCATGGCATGAACTAAACGTTTGTAAAATGGTCAAAAAATAGTCATTTAAAAAAACTTAAAAAAAAAAGTTTAAAGCTGTTTATACCCGTTACTCTTAAAGTAAAGGGGTATATTGTATTCGTGCAAAAGTATATAACAGCTAGAAGGATGCAATTCCGACCCCATGAAGTATAGATATTCTTCATCATCAACTACAAAAGCTAAAGTGCTAGGGCTGACCTTGGGCCAATATTCTTTTTTAAGATATATAACAAAAACCAAGCCTTTCGCTTCGGTTAAAAAAAAAATACCTTACTGATTGTATGGCATAGCTCCATACTTTGAACCAAAAACGGATCCGATCGCATAATCGGTGCGGAAAAATTAATTAAGTCATCTTCGGGGCTTTCAAAGATTTCCAGAAACATGGTTTTGGCTCTAAAAAATTGACTAAAAAATGTACCCCTTACTTAAACAGTAAAATTATGTATTTGAGACTGCTGGACGAAAATACCTTCTTAAAGTCAGATGTTTCGAACACCGATGCACTGATTGTTGGACCAACGCCTTCCAATATTTCTGGCTCCGCTTCAATTGTACATCGTCACATATTCCAATCTTTGGTAGGAAGATATTTTTCAGTCACTTCGACTTCGTCTGCTAAAATACCATGTTCAAAGATAATATTCTCCAGAATGTTTTTTTTTTGGAAAAGTTTTTAATAGTTTAATTTGCCTTGTTCAATTGTTTTTGATTTACCAAAATCGAAATCATAAAATTACACAATAATTATTTTGCAGCTTATAATTTGAGTTATTTTATTATTTGTGTTATTTATTAATTACTTATTTATCATTTTGTGTGTCTTGATACATTTGTCTTATGTACGCTTAATTCGAGCGGGTCTGATTACACTTTGCAAAAAATGAATGCTTTTTAAATGAACCTCGATGAATGCTATATTTTTTAATTCGTTACGTTAAAAACATACAGCTGCAGTCAATATAGTAGTAGTCTTGCCGCCCTGTGTTTTCAAAAGTTTGTTGTTGTAACTTTTCTTATCCAATTAGTCTAATAGTACAATTAAAATCAATACAATATTACCAGAAGAAAATAAATTACAACAATTACAACTATTTTGACCGCAGCTGGGAATTCGTAACGAATTCATAAATATAGCATCCATCCAGGTAAATTTTAGATGTTGCACAGTGTTATTAATCTTCGCATGCAAAGTTGGTACCGAACAATGAGTTGCAGACATTAACGGCCACATTGCGACGAGCGATCTTCTTGGATCTTCCGTTGGCAGTGAACTCCTGATTGTCGACGATTACGCCCAGGCACTGTGGCACATTTGGCGTGTCTCCGGAGTTGCCAAAGCTCACGTAGGAAATTCCTGGGCGCATCTGGAAATATAAAATACTTTAGAAATGTCGTTCGTACAACTTTAAACTATAAATTAACTTATTCGGCCAGATTTATTTGTTAAATTACATTTAAATTACGTACTGTTATCATTTGAAATATTATAAAAACATTCTCTTCAAATTCAACAAGACTACCTTTCTTATTAAATTGTTTCCTCAAGTGCACGGTAATGAAATTAAGCTACCTAAACTATCTTGGTTTTTCAGTTAAGTTGTTTTTAAAATGTTAGGATTTATGAATAGATTTTCAGATAATATGGAGACTTACAATGCATAGAAGTGTCGCTGGGTGCATGGTCTCCCAACCGGGGGGCAGTTCCGTGCGGATGGGAGGCGCTTTGGGCTCCTTGGGCACAGGAAGAGGCAGTGATGCTGCCGCTGGATTGGTGGCGCTGGCCGTCGGATGCATCTCCGGCACCGAGAATCCCTCACGTTCCCACTCCGTGAAAAGCTTGTAAAGGGCGAACGATGCCAGATTTAGCATAGGCAAGTCATCGTCATGGGCCTCGGCATCGCTCTCGTTGGTTTCCATGGGATCCTCACCGGCAGCGCCAACTGGAGCCGTCTCCTCGTTGCTGCTAGTCTTCTGCTTGCGGCTCCTGGGCTTCATCCTAGCAAGTATGTAGTCGCGCAGAGCCTTCTCGCAGGCCGCGTTCTTGGCGGACATCTTGGATATACCCTTGCCCTCATATTGTGTCGAGTTAACCGTGACCAAGGCTGTAAATCCGCCGTCGGGATTGCTGTCTATGAAGAAGTCGCTAATAATCACGCCCTTCACCTCGTTGAGGGCCATTAATGCGTTCTTCGGAAGCATAGACTTGCGCAGCTGGCGGTTCTGGCGCAGCTTCTTGTCCCGAGTGCGCTCTTGAAGTGAACAAAAAAAATTAATATTTATTATATTCAACGACACCCATCCCGCAATTCCTAAACAGATAAAAAAAGGGCCCAAAAAACTTTATATGGTTTTTAAATATATATGAATTAATTCGGTTTTTGATTTTTTTGCAAAGCTTTCCTGAATAATCTGTATAATTGCCCTATTTTGTATTTTAAAATAACATTTCTACTTATAAATTAAGAGCAAACAAGATACAACTATAAGTAAATGGCTCGACTATCAGCTACCCTGTACTCAGATAAAGTGTGTGCAAAGGAGACAAAAAAGTATACCTGCTATTGTAGAATGTATAATTAAAAAAAGCCTATTAATTAAACAGCGCTCTGTACAAATTTATATGTATTTTGTATTTTTTACTTAAGTTGGTTTTGTCATACTTTCCAAGCTTACCGGATGACTTCTTGCGTTTCAGGAAGATCTTCTTGAATGGGATCTTGCCATTGCTGTTCTCCAAACAAGTATCTCCGTAGACATTCTCGTCGGTGGCCTCCATGGGCTCTGCTGTATTATGTGTCGCGGTTTCCTCAGAAGGGGATTCCCCGGGCTGGGTTATCAGCTCATCCTTGATGGGAATGGGCATGGGAACGACATCTGGCTTTTTGGTCGGTTCGCTCGCCGAACTACCCGGGACAGCAGTAGCAGCTGCATGACCTTCAATTGTCACGGCTTTCGCGGGCGTTCCTGGCTTGCCCGCCGCATTCAGATTCTGTTTTTTTTAAAGAGATTTATAAGTCACCTGGTAAACGGATTCTTAGACTTCTGTTTTGTTTATTTTTGTTCTTCTAGTGAAGTATCCAGAGCCTAAGCCTCTTCCTCGACCACGCCAGTCGTGGGTCTACAGTCCCACCGAAGGAGGTGTGCTGGTCTACTAAAAACCATAGTTCAGGAACTAGCCATGGCCATTCCTGCGACCCAAGTGCCCCGAAACGAAGCTCTGCACCGACGGAGCCACGAATCCAGGCTATCATCAAATCCTCCTCCCAAATTCTCTTTGACTGAGTATCTTAAATTAAATTTCTCTGGGAAATTTAAGAAGTGCCTTTTTCGAAATATTTCCAGGGACCCAAAATAACTGTTATTGTAAATTTTTCATACAAAAAAAATCACGCACTTAAAAGAGTCCAAAAATTTTTTTAAATACACCACTATTTTTATTAGCCATTGTAGAATCCGTAATGATTTTTATTTTCTAATTTTTATAATAAAACTCAAAAATAACTGTTATTTGTTGATTTTTAGGTATAACAGTTATTCCCTTGGCATGTTTAAAAAAATGAAATAATTAAAAAGAACATGCTTACCGTGTTTTATATAATTAACTAAAAATTTGTTAAAAATGGCAATCGCGCATATTTTATAACTATATTTTTTTTTAATTTATTTTACCCACAAAATCGCTATAAGTCAAGTTTGAGTTTTATTTGTGATCACGACGAATAACTGTTACTTGTCAACTTTTATTATAAAACTCAAAAAAAGGCAGTTATTCTTTGAGTTTTACTTTACAAATCAGAAAATAACTGTTAAAGTGTGATTTTTAAAATAAAACTTATAACAGTTACGGTCCCTGCTCATTTCTAACTTTTACCAGCCATTACATAAGCCTAACTTCTTACCAAAAGAGACAAAAAATTCAGGCTAATCATAAATAGTTATAGTTATGGGGAGGGGATCCGTCGGTCTTTGGCTGAGTTCGTGAGTTTCGTGCACTTTCGGTGAAGTGAATGGGCATTGCTATCTGACGCAAAACTAATCATTTTAGTTACAATTTCGGGTGAATGCATTTTCAGTAGCCATAAAAGTTCGTGATAACCGCAAGTCCAGCTTAAAATATTGCAGTGCTCTCTAGTTGTCCGAAAACACGAGCAATGTGTAGTGACTAAAATGTGTGTGAAATGTTCATGACGATATTGTCGATGCTGGCGGAATTAGGACAACGGTCTGGACTTCCGATTAACCCGCTTTTAGTGGCTGTTGAAAATGGGTTCACAATTGGGATAGAAACACACATTTTCATATTGTGCGCTGCAAATCATATAAATAAAAACAGAATTGCCGTTAATATAGAAATTAAGTAAGTTAATAGTCAAAATGGAATAAATAGTTTGTTTACTTGTATTATTTTTGGCATGTTTCCTTAAAAAATGTGATGCAAGTCCCGAAAAACCTCTAAGTAAATTTCTAGCATATTTGCGAATCTTTTCTCGCTTTTATATAAGTAATTTTAAATTAAGAGCTGAAGGCCTACAGCTGCTAAAGCTCATACCCACTGTTAGCAAGTAGTTTATAATTAGTTGCTAGCATTAAATAAATAAATAAATTTTAAATTAGAAAAAATAACAAAATCTAGGTTTTGTTATTATTTATATCAACAATGCTTCAAATTCAGAACCGGCTGACTAAAGAAACCGACTAGAAATAAATTTCAGTTTTGCATGCAATTCGAATCATTTGTTTACGGTGTTGAGCTTTTACCGTATATGTATAGTGATATATGTACAGTGGCTCCATCGCATAATCGGACACCTACTTTCATAAAATAAACAGTCAAAACAAATGAATGAAATGGGTTAAATTCGTCGTTTTTTTTGCTTTTACTTATACATAATGCTAATATCTTCCAAAAACATAAACAAAAATTACATATTTTCAACGAAAACACTTAGTTTTCCAACAAAAACAAAAAAAAATCAGATTTTTAAGGTTCAACGAATAATCGGACACTCGCTGAATTCGGTTATTTTTAATGGAACTTGCTGCAAACTTTGGGTTTTTGGCATTGAAATTACTTTGTAGTAGAGATTAAGAGAAGAAACCTTCACTACACTGCAAAAGAAAGTTGAAATGGCTCCAAGGAAAGCCATTTTCTGTGAAACTTCGTCAGTTGATTGGAAAACTCAATTTCGAACTGAAAACTGTATGGAAATTCACTGGATTGGTCGGAGAAGGCAAGTCTATTGTCCAGGACATTATTATGAGGTTCCGGGATACATTTTAATATGACAATAGAGGCGGGAAAGGCCAAATCAAGATGTTAATGACGGCATAATTCCAAAGTACCTTAGGATTTTAAAGGATTTTAAAATATTTTAAAAATTATTTTTTGATGTTTCTTTCGTTAATCTGAAAGTGCATTAAACAACCGACAAAATGATGTATCGTTTATAAAAATCGGTTCACAACTTACCTAAAAAATGGACCAAACTATAACCAAACGAATAATTGCTTGGTCAAAAAGCACGATTTTCATACAAATTTCAATAAAAACGAAGCTTTCAGCTTATCAAGAATTTTCTCGAACCCATCTTTTAGGTAAGTTGTGAACCGATTTTTATAAACGATACATAATTTTGTCGGTTGTTTAATGCACTTTCAGATTAACGAAAGAAACATCAAAAAATAATTTTTTAAATATTTTTTATCCTTTAAAATCTTAAGGTACTTTGGAATTATGCCGTCATTAACATCTTGATTTGGCCTTTCCCGCCTCTATTGTCATATTAAAATGTATCCCGGAACCTCATAATAATGTTAATAGACTTGACTTCTCCGACCAATCCAGTGAATTTCCATACAGTTTTCAGTTCGAAATTGAGTTTTCCAATCAACTGACGAAGTTTCACAGAAAATGGCTTTCCTTGGAGCCATTTCAACTTTCTTTTGCAGTGTAGTAAAGGTTTCTTCTCTTAATCTCTACTACAAAGTAATTTCAATGCCAAAAACCCAAAGTTTGCAGCAAGTTCCATTAAAAATAACCGAATTCAGCGAGTGTCCGATTATTCGTTGAACCTTAAAAATCGGATTTTTTGTTGTTTTTGTTGGAAAACTAAGTGTTTTCGTTGAAAATATGTAATTTTTGTTTATGTTTTTGGAAGATATTAGCATTATGTATAAGTAAAAGCAAAAAAAACGACGAATTTAACCCATTTCATTCATTTTTTTTTGACTGTTTATTTTATGAAAGTAGGTGTCCGATTATGCGATGGAGCCACTGTATGTATTCACTACACTATACTAGATCACGATCCCGGTACTTGCATCGACATTTGTAAAAATTTTTAAAAAACACTTACTTGAACGCCGCCGGAAACAATGGACTTAGCTGCTGTCGATGTGCGACGCGGGCGGTTCATGATTATTATTAGTTTTAATTTTACTTCAGTACTGAGCTCAAGAAAATTTTCTATCTTCCACCCGGAATTCTCGTACTCTCAGAAATAATTGGGATGGGTAATGTTTAGTTTGAGCATTGAACTACGGAACAGTTATCTTAAATATCGATAGTTGACTTTATAGACTATTCCCACAGTAATCCGTGCACTATCAATCTAATAGCCTGTTCAGGGGGAGTTCTGCTTCAGCGAACAAATTCCACTTTAGGGACTTTTTACACGTGTTAGAGAAATATGAGAAATACTTTTACGCGCAGCAGATAATGTAAGGAAAATTAGAACTTCGTTATTTTTATTTAGTATTTTTTACGAGTTTTAGCTACGTTCTTTACTTGTCGTTTTTTAAATGACCAGCCTTGACAATACCTGAGAGCTGGTTTACTAAAACAATCTACACGTTTTTACTCGTTCTGAACTTTTCTTCATCTCATATGTAGGCATTAATATGTTCATTTATTAGAGACATTTTTTCACTATACTAGGGGGATTCCCTAAACTGTTGAATTGCTGAATTGTTGAATTTTGGTCAGCTGTTAATCAGCTGTTCCACACAAAGTCAACTTTCAGAAATTTCAGCAATTCATCAGCCTCGGGGCTGCTGAAAATTTTGTTGAATTGCTGAAAAGCCAGAGTTGTCACCTTTTTTTAAAGTCGTGGCAACTCTGTAACATTTTAGTATCACCAGTACGCATTATTTATTTTAAAATCAACTTAGAAAGCATATTTGTGGTTCTTTTTACCTTGGCAACACTTTAAGACATTAACTAGCAATAATAAATCTAATTTTATATGCTTTAAGTTCCGTGAAATTTTTCAACAAATAACAGCTGTTTGAAAATTTAACAGGAACCATTTTGGGTCGTTCCCTTAATTGCTGAAATTTTTTGTTGAATTTTCAACAATTCAGCAATTCAACAGTTTAGGGAATCCCCCTACTATTTTATGTAAGTGCGAGCAAGACTAAATCCGGTATTTTTATGGTATTTTCATAATTTTTAGAAAGGCAATTTTATATAAATTTATAAACGCAGTTAAGTCTTCATTTAGAAATATGAGCATTTATTTTTAGTTGGAAACGGAGTAATTAGGCCTTTAAAATACTTTTTGTATTGTTCTTATTTGTTTATAGCACCAATTCAACCAAAAAAAATCCAGTAAAATTTTATTATTAATCCCATTTCACAGTAGCTCTAATGAATGAGCAAAATTGTACTTTTTAGATTCAATTTTGCTTATTGCTCATCGGTCCAGGTGGTACCGTATTGAAGCATTTTAAAATACCAAAAAAATACCAAAAGTGGACATCACTATTATCGATAGGTCGCCTGCGACAATCGACTAGTACACGTAGAAAACAAACAGAACAGACGAGACAACGACGTTTAAAAGCACACCAGGCGCAATGCAATAAGCTCCGTGCGTCGGACAGTTAGCACATACCACTAGCACCAGGATCAGGCCTGCCACTTGCCACCGATCTGCGGCAGAATCGGCATCCGCTCCCGGACTTGAGCCACGCGAGCGCGGGCCCAACCCAGACGAATAATGCTGGGTGGGAAGCGGACGGGGTCGCGGCACATAGCCGTTGTGCTGCTGATGTGCCTCTTCTGGTACGTGATCTCCTCCAGCAACAATGTCATTGGCAAGATGGTCCTGAACGAGTTCCCCTTCCCGATGACTGTGACTCTGGTCCAGCTGTGCAGCATCACGCTGTACAGTGGGCCCTTCTTCAACCTGTGGCGCATCCGGAAGTATCAGGATATCCCGCGCCCCTACTACTACCGCCTGATTGTCCCGCTGGCGCTGGGCAAGCTCCTAGCCTCCGTCACCTCGCACATCTCGCTGTGGAAGGTGCCAGTTTCCTACGCGCACACGGGTGAGTTCGGTGCCCGTCACCCCGGTGTTCCACAACACGTCAGCAGTATCTGTCTGATGTGTCGAAGCGACAGTCTTGAAGAGACAAGATGATAACGAGTTGGTAACTGATATCTTGACACAGAAAGCAACTTTTCCTAAAATAGTTGTAATTAATTATGAAATTATCAAAACCATAGGTGTTAAATTTTGTTCCTACCTTTTTTTTTAGTTTAACATGTACTTAATAACATTTAAATTAATATTTAAAATTAATATTTAAGGGCATCCAAGAACTGATCAAGTTGTCAAATCGGATTTTGTTCCAGTATGATAAAGTTTCAATTTTAACAAAAGAGACTTTTAGTTTATTTATCGGTACTGCCGGTTTCAGCTCTAAGCGTCGTTTTGTGGCACCTCTGTACAGTTGAAAATACAAATAATAGCATTATTTTTTAAAAAAAGTTACGATAATTGATTTTTTATAAGAAGTTTCCTTTTCCCTCTCTTTTAGTCAAAGCCACAATGCCGCTATTCACCGTCGTCCTGACGCGCCTCTTTTTTGGTGAAAAACAACCGACGCTCGTGTACCTGAGTCTGCTGCCCATCATAACGGGTGTAGGCATTGCCACAGTCACGGAGATCTCCTTTGACATGATGGGCCTGATCAGCGCCCTCATCTCAACAATGGGCTTTTCCATGCAAAATATCTTCTCCAAGAAGGTAACGATTTCGAATGGCCTGGGTCTTAAGACATATCATCATTTCGTAACCACTTTTTTCGCCCGCCAGGTGCTTAAGGACACCAACATCCATCATTTACGGCTGCTGCATTTGCTTGGAAAGCTGTCACTGTTCATCTTCTTGCCCCTGTGGTTATACATGGATAGCTTAGCTGTATTCCGACACACGGCCATTGTAAGTACGGCACATAAATTAAAACTTGAGGCAATCGTATCTTTACAATTGTCTATTTTGATTTTAAAAAGTATTGGATAGGCTAAACCTTACAACTACAGAAAAAATGGGACAACTATGGAAAAGTCTTGTCTTGAATGTCTGATTTAATCATACCTAGATGCAAAACTAAGTCAAATGTAAAATTCTTAAAAAAACAAAAAAAAAATTCTAAATTTTACCGTACCAATTTATTGAATTTAACTTATCACGAGAAAAAGCTAACTTTTTCATTTGAAATGCATTTTTAAAATTAATTTTTTTTTTACAGACGGCCCAAGTAATAATATTACTTGAAATAAAATTTCATTTCATGGCATTTATTTACCCATATACTTAACCTATGTTCAAAAAGAATTCCTTTCCTCAAGACTGGATTAGGTATAAGCAGAAACTTAATTGTTTTATTTCAATTTCAACTATTGAAATTGGCCAACGTCCACGTTTTCATTTTATTTTTTTTATCACATGTAGTCGTTCTAACCAAATCTAAAAACACTTGTGTTTGTCTGTCTGTTTACTCAGTGTGTTTAAATATTTGAAGACAGTTTCAGCGCACAGCATAATAACATTTTTGTAGGTTTTTTTTCTTCGTCCTATTTTCAGACATGAATACAAAAATATGTAAGATCAAAGCACATTAATCAGAAAGTTTTTACTAAAATATATTAACTTATTTAATAATAAAAGAAGCCTTTAAGACACAGAAATTAAAACAATCAAGCCCTTTGCTCGATCATATGTATAATAGGTACTGAATAGACCGAAAAATACATGCTACAATTATAAGAAAAGAATTATAGGTATAAATATTGCCGCTTGTCAAAGCTGGCTTCCTTTTTGATGTTCGATTATTTCAAACTAGTTTCCCAATTGTTCCTATGGCAGCTATAAGGGAATGTTCTTAAATTTAAAATCCAAAAAGTTGATGACATTTTTTTAACATATTTCTGTTAAAGTCCGATGTTAAATTTCAAAACAAAACATGATATCAACTAAAACGCTATGGTGATGTACAAGACTTCAATAAAAATAAAATAAAAATAGAAATATAAATAAACAATAAAAAGGATAAAGAGATAAATTAAAAAAAACGGAAGCTAACATCGGCAAGCCGAATTCACCAATTTAAAATGTGACTATAGTAGTATAAATCAGGGACCGTAAATAATCATTATTTGAGATTTTTATTTTAAAAGGCCTACTGAGGTTTTTACAAGTTTTAATCAATTATTTAACTGGTTTTTATGCACTTTATAGGCATGAACAAATAACAATTAATTTGCTTTCCAGATTTGTTGAAATGCATATACTTTGTGGACAAGAGTAAAAAGAACGTTATTTTTGACGTTTAAAACAAAATATCACAGTAGTCTTTTTAAAATAAAAATCTCAAATAATGATTATTTACGGTCCCTGGTATAAATAGCAAATATGAATTGATTAACAACGTCAAACTTGGTCTTATCTGACCCTATTGTCCTTTGGGAGCTATAAGGTATAGGCTTTCGATCGGCAAGCGTTTTCCTATACCCAAATCAAGTTTTGAATAAAAAATATGATTTGAAAAGATTCGAGTCAATAGCTTTTAAAAAACAGCTTAGTTTTGAACGGTTTATCCGAGCTTTCCAATCGCAAACGATTTTACCCTGATTAAGATACATAAAAATTTATTTCCAATTTTTTAGGTTTAAAAGCAATGAGATTTTTTGATGACGTTGCAACGTTAAAAATATTTTTAAACAAACTAAAAAAAATGCATTAAATCGTTATTATTATTTTCGATTTAATTTTTAATTTTACTCAGTGATTAGTAATCACTGATTACAATTACTAATAATTGATAAAAACTAGGGAAAGCAAAATAAATCTGTACTCTAAATACACACGAAAACTTTCCATTTTGCAGAAAAACCTGGACTACCGGGTGATTGCCCTGCTTTTCGCCGACGGCGTTCTAAACTGGCTGCAGAACATCATCGCATTCAGCGTCTTGTCACTAGTCACTCCACTTACATATGCAGTGGCAAGCGCTTCGAAGCGGATCTTTGTGATCGCCGTATCGCTCCTGATTCTCGGCAATCCTGTTACGTGGGTCAACTGCCTTGGCATGACACTGGCGATTGTGGGCGTGCTGTGCTACAATCGCGCCAAACAAATCACCCGGGGCCGGGAGCAGCCAACACTTCCATTGTCGCAGAACAGTCATGTGAAGTACTCGCCGCTGGAGCAACAGACGGATCCGTATTACCGGGGATCGGTCAACGGAAAACTTTCCAATGGATTGCACAGGACGCCCGGAAACAGCCTGTTAGCGAACGGCAGCGGAATGCCAACCGGAACGGCTACGCGGCTGCTCTTTGTTTAGATTGTAGTTAGTGAATGTATCCAATAAGCGGGTTAGCTAAATAGTATTAACCCTCGACCACCACTACCCAATTCCCGACTCTCTCCCTTTCTCTCTTTATATATATATGTTCTATATATATATTGAATACGTTTGACAACTGAGGCACAACTCTAAATTTTATAATGTTAAGAATGAAGCCGGATTTTCTTTAGGTTTTCGATCATATTTGATGGAAGTGGAATTAAACTTTTCGAAAACTTCTGTGTTTCAAAAAAATACCTCTAAACACCACAGACCTAGTTCACAAACGACGTTTAAAACATAAAAGAATCCTTTTTTATTAGATTGAAAATAAAATAAGAAAACAAGGTCCATACGGTGCTAAAATAACATGGCTAATGATTAGTGGTTAGTACGTTTGCTGAAAGAGTGTCTTAATTCTAAAATCATATTTTTCCGGAATTTTTTGTACACCTCATACTTATGTAGGACTCGCAATGTATAACATTATGTAAGCTGTGACATTCTTTTAGTAATCAAACTCGAAAATGAAAAATTTCGATGTTGTGCCGGTTGAGTCAAAAGTGCGTAATATATGTATGTTTGTTCACCCAGAACGCATAGCAATGCTATAAACGTAATGTATTTTTGATATAGTTTCGTAGGCGAGCGGAGTGTGTAAATATTATAAGTAGTTCGAGTTCCCAATTTCCATATCCCCTCCCACCCGCTAGTTTCGAATTTGTTTTTGTATTTGATTAAGCCGTAAAGTGTATTCAGAAAGCGTTAGCGCATGTTGAACCAAAAAATAAAATTGTTGACAATGTACATAGGCAAAGCAAATGCAAATCACCGTGTGTGCTCCTTGACCTAACCTATTTATCGTATATCCAACTATCCAACAGAATGCCCAGCAGCGCCACCAGTTCAACGATGGATGGTGCTCCTACGCCGGATGGGGCACCAGCTTGATCCACTCGTTGATCACCTCTTTATGGTATCCGATCCGCTTTAGCAGTGCTTCCGATCGCCAGTTGGTGGACACAATCCAGGCTGTTAAGGTGACATCCTCGCCCCTGGCTATTCTTCGAGTCATCGCAGCGGCCAGAAGGCCACCAAGCCCTCTTCGCTCTGCCTTGGGCAACACTTTAAGCATGCTGGAAGCGTCAGAAATTCTATTATTGGGGGCTGTGATGTGATAAAAAGTTTTCGGTTTCGGGTTAGAACTCTTCGAATAAATTAATTTCAGATTCGGTAGCGTTAAGACTTGGTGCTTTTTTCTCGACCAATGTTCTTGAGTTAGTTATGAACCGTATTCGTTTACAGATTTTTTTGACAAATCAATTTAATTTTAAAAATCAATATTGAAAAACTAGACTTAATTAGTCAGGTAGTATTATTTCAAAATATATAGCAATATAATATAGTCGTCCGATTATTGTTAAATTTAATTCAAAATCCGGAAATATTAAAAAAAAGTCATATCCCAGAGTAGAAGAGAATACAATAAAAACCAACGGAGCTATATTTTCTTTCCAATTAATTTTCCGATCGTTCCTATGCCAGCTATATGATTTTAATAAAAACTAATAAATTAGAAATTCAGAATATTCATATGCAAAAAAAAACCGAAGATATAATTTTTATAAATTTATTTTTCCGGTCATTCCTATACAATATAGTTTTGTAACTGTAAAATAATGAAGACTTTTGGGAGAGTTTCAGCCCGATAGCCTTCACTGCGTTGCAAACTTCTGACTAAAATCATTATACCCTCTGCAAGGGTATACAAAACTATTATTAAAATGGGAAAAAAATGATTAAATGTTCGTTAATCAGTTTAGTTATTGTCACTGTTTACTTAAAAATAAAATTAAACATCTTAACAGAACACCTAAAATATATTTTCGGTATACGTACCCCAGCCCGGAGAAGTCGTTTTGGAAGATCCATGCAATCAATTCGCCGGTGTCACTTCGGCACACTCCCAAGGATTTGTTGAAGCGAATAAGGGCCCGAAGATAGGTCAGTGACCCCTCACCCTTGTTGGGCCAAGTTTCGTGCACCATAGCTGCATCCTCGTCCTGCAGTGGCCGGATGTCGAACTCGGATAGCAGCTCTGGAACCTCCACACTTAAGGCTCCCTCGTGCAGCAAAACCATTCCGAAACACTGACGCGGTTGCATGGAGGTGACACCACGTTTGACGGCCAACTCTTTGACCCGATCGCAAAATCCGAGATCCACGTTGGTCAGCAGGGCGCCCTGTGTCCATTCAATAAGTTGGGTTTGCTCTAGGCACTCCCACATCTCCCCAGCCTCATTCGGTTGCCAGCTGAAGAAGGAGACGCTCTGCACGATGTCGCGATGAAGACTTACATAGGTGCCCCACTTTCGGAAGTCCCCATTTCGATGGGTAAAGAATTGCTTCCTCATGGATATATAGTTTAGATCATCGCGCGGTATTTTAGCCTCATCCAACTGGCGATCCCACTTTCGCTGGTTATAGAGCAACAGGTAGTGGAAGTTCTGTACACCGTATTTAACTTTGTATAGATCGAGCAGTTCGTCTACTTCACTGTCGATAAGTGGCCGCAAAATATCACAGTCCTTATCGATGCCCATCGTCAAGCCCTATATGTATCTGTCTATCTGATTTGTGCTTTGTTTTATGTGCTTTCCGTCTGCCCGCTGCCCAATGACTGGCGAGCTGGCCGCAGTAACGTCGCTATTAATTCGCTAGTTCAACTACTTAATTTCAATTCAGCTGATTAGATTTCTCTCGTTCAGCCAGGGGCGAATTCACTAAGTGAAGGCAGCAAAGCAGGGGCGAAAAAAATAACAAATTTGATCTTTGGCTGTGTTTGCGCAGATGGGCGGTTCTTTTACAAACCGAACACCTTTTATTGGATCACATTTTTGATTTGCCTGAAACTTTTTTTACACGTACTATTCGGAAAAGAAGTAAAAACGTGTATCAGGATTTCACCGAAAAAATATTACCTTTTTAGTAAGAATTTTTTTAAGTTTGCCAAAAATTGTCAAATTTGAAAAAGTACCCTCATTGAAAATCTGTATCTCCGGTTATATGAATCCGATTGACTTCATGGCTTTTGCATTAATTCCTCTAAAACCTTTTCTTTCAAAATAAAATTACTAAAAAAATTTTTTTTTTTAATTTCTTAAAAATAAAAACAAATTAAGATTAAAAAAGTTTTTTAACCATTGCCCCCACAAAAAAAATGTTTAATACTTTCGCCATATTGTTAGTTACAATCGGTTTGCGTAAAAAGTTGAAGCCATTTTTAGTTTTTTAAATATCGAAATTTTTTAAACAAGGGCTCGGCTTTTTCTTATGAAAAAACATCGCAGCAAGTAGGGCTACTCTCTCACTTCAAATTTGTGGGGAACCCGTTTAAAATTTTTTTTTTTAAATCTTAAATTGTTTTTATTTTTAAAATATTAAAAACTCATTTAAAAAAAAAATTTTAAAGAAGAGGTTTTGGAGGAATTAATGCAATAGATAAGAATCAGATTACTACAACCGGAGATACAGATTTTCAATGAAAGGGTACTTTTTGGCAAACTAAAAAAATGCAAATGATCCTGATACACGTATTTACTTATTTTCTGAATAGTACACGATTTTTTGGCCAAATCCGTTCGGTTTGTAAAAGAACCGCCCATATACCCTTGCAGATCATTCCTATTAATTTACAAAAACATTAAATTTAGATTCACTTTCTTGTATGATAAAACAATCGAAATTTTAGCTGATTTCGTATTATTTGGACATTATTTTTTTGATCCTACCTATGGGAAATTTAATTCGAAATTTTGAAATGTTAAAGAAAAACTATATCCCAGTGAAAAAGAGAATGTAATAAAAATCAACAAAGATATTGATTAAAAAAACTTGCGCTGCGTAGGAAGCCCCAGAATATGTGTAGGAAATCCCAACCTTCTAGCTTTTGTAGTTTCCGAGATCTCAGCGTTCATACAGACAGACAGACGGACATGGACATGGCTAGATCGACTCGTCTATATACTTTATGGGGTCGGAAACGTCTCCTTCACTGCGTTGCAAACTTCTGACTGAAATCATTATACCCTCTGCAAGGGTATAAAAAAGTGGAACGGGATCTGAAAATGCCTAGCAACGTAGTTGCCTTCGCCCTTTGCGTTGGAAGTTGTTATTACTTTCCCTCACAGCACACACTCGTCAGCATGGTGCTCAGTAAGTAGTTAAAATTTGGGAAATGTTTCCTAATATCAGTTTTCATTATCTTCTAGTCACCGAAGAACTGGTTCGCAAGAAATCGGAGCACAATGAACGACTAATTAGCACTCTGGAAGAAATTTCCTTGCACCAGGAGGACATCGAGGTCATCGAACATATCCAGAACTGGTGTCGCGACCTCAAGATCCTACTCCTTCAATCCAATCTGATAGCGCGTCTGGAGAACTTGCATAAGCTGAAACGTTTGGAGTACCTCAATGTGGCCATCAATAATATTGAGAAGATTGAGAACCTGGAGGGGTGCGAGTCCCTCAATAAACTGGACCTAACTCTAAATTTTATAGGAGAACTAACTAGCTTGGAGTCGCTATGTGGCAATCACAATCTCCGCGAACTGGTGCTCATTGGTAATCCCTGTGTGGACTATCCACACTACAGGGACTACGTGGTAGCCACTTTGCCGCAATTGAATAGCTTGGATTGCGTAGAGATCACGCCTTCGGAACGTCTTCAAGCATTAAGGGAGTTATCAAAGAACCGGGCCATTATCGTCCAGAAGCAGGCGGATCAGGCTATAAAACGGGATGAGCAGCGTATCCGGGTGGCGGAGCAGCAGTCTGCCTTGGCGGAAAGTTGTGCCGGAATCGATGACGAAGAGGAGCGGATCAAGGCCTTCTGGCAGGCAAAGAGCGAGCACTGTCCAGAGATCCGTACGGAGATCGCCCGGCAGCATCGTTTGGGCCGGGAGCGGCACGAAACTAAGTCCCCGTTGGATCCTCCGAAGCAGATGCGCAATCTTTTTGCTCCCTGCGGCAGACCGTACAATCTGAACCAGGGCAAGCTGCCCTTTACCTTTCAGGATGAGGCCGATCATTACTTGCTCCAACTAGAGGTATACAGGTAAGTTAACTGAACACGAAAGGAAGCAAGCTTGCAGCTTCCGCCGTCATATCTCAAATTTCAACTGAATTTGTTCGGTAGAGATTTCGGTGAAATATATATACAAAGGCCATTCTCAGAAGATTTCGACCAAGCCAAAATGTTTAAAACTTGATAAAAACATATTTCTATATCATTTTGCACTGATATATAATTCTAGTTAGATGGATCCTCAACTTGAGTATCCTTGGATAATTTTTCAGGACAATAACTATAATATGGGCAAATAAGACTTTTCTTTAGTAATTGTTTACGTTACGGTTAACGAAAAACCAGCTAACAAAACGACGAAAAAAATTGAAGCGGGCGACATGTAGCGTGTGACAGTCACTTCAGTGCAAACAAAAAAATAACTACTCTATATCTTTTAAATTTTATAAAATTAACTGCATTGAAATATTCCTTCACGTTTCGCAACAAGTGAAAGTTGAGCTGGTAGTCAAAAAAGTCACTTCTATTTTTGTTTTTTATATATGTATCTTAAAAACGAATAATGGCCCAAAGTCTGCTATAGTCTATATTCTATTATAGTGCTCATGAAAAGCTTTAATTTGAGACTAGTGTGAAAAGAACACGTCCACTTTAATTAACTCAAGAGCCCAAAATGCTTTAGAAAACTCTACCGACCCAATCTGTAAATACATATATTCGTTCGTCTTTCTTTCTGTGGGGATTAAGCATGCAGATTCTTGGTATTCTTGGTGCTACATTCGCTTAAATATTATTTTCTTTATTATTAATATTAATATTAATATGTACAGATACCTGGATACCTCTCTAATTGATGTGGATGTACAGACCATGTACACTAGGGTCACCGTCAAGAAAAGGATTTTCCAGATCGCCTACAATGAGGAGGTTAAGCCGGATGAGTCCACTGTGCAGCGTTCCCAGATAACAGGTCATCTGATGGTCAAACTTAAAAAGCTGAAAGTCAACGAACTGCTAATCGCAACAAAGAGTACGGCTAAAAAGTAAGTGGGCTATTGATGCTCAAAAAATAAAATTAAAATTTTAATTATAATGTGCTCACTTCTCTAGGTATACCCGCTCTGATGACGGAAAAAATATCGAAAACCCAGGTGAAAAACTCCGTGGAGTCGTGGACATCAGTAACATTTGTCCGCCCGATGATCTTCCCGATTTAATTTGAGCCAGAGTTCATTATTTAAAAATGGTTTATTTAAATATTTGTCTGTTTTGGTTTGTTTTTTCCAACTCGTCATCGTTTTTTTTGTTTGTTGTTTGGTTTTTGTGATCCATCCATTGATCAATCAATTAGCTTCTTAGTAACCTCTTCAGCCCGATCGGATGTCTATATATACGCGCTTGTGATTGTGTAAGTGTGTGTGTGTACATATACATTACATATATAAATGTAGTTACATGGCCATATAACGTAAATCGAGTAATGCAATAAAGAGCACAAACTAAGAAAAATGAACTGTATCATATTATAACTTCGTTTTCGATTATTTCTGTTAGGGAAACCGTGTAATGCCAAATCAATGAAATTGTCTCTGATTGATGGCTACAAACGTACAAAATATCAAAAGGATTCAATTCGATTCGATTTTAGTTTCTTACTTTTCTGTGGCAAACCAATGGGGAGTATTTCGATTTGGGGGAGGTGTTTATTTAAGAGTTCAGGGGCCTCTTAAACGGCTATACAAAATCAGGGCAGGGCCTAAGTCTTGTTCAAAAGTTTTACGGCTTCTGACTGTTGATTTTTTGTTGTTTAAAAGTTGCCTTTCATGCTGTATTTACAATACATGATAATCGGTATTATCGGTACTGCTATCGCTTTCTGTATACATATCTATATATATATATAAGTTAGTTGTGAAATTGCTATAAATTACAAGATACATAAAAAAATTTATTCGATTTTATCTGGAAAAGTCCTGTGGAAAGTATGGGATGTGGTTGGGATTATTTATGGAGAGTCCTGGCTTATCTGAAATGATCATAGTTTGTTTTTGTTTCGTTTGTTAAATGGATATAGCAACAATCTTGTATTCTCTCTCGCTCATATATTTCGGTATTTGTTTTTGCTTTTGCTTTTAGTTTGTATCTTTAAATAGTATTGTATTCTAGCTGTGTTGTGTGCATTTTTCTTCAGTTTCTTTTTGCTTCGGTTTTTTCTGTAATTTATGTAAGTATTTCCACTTATTTATTTAATTAATTTCGTATTTTGTTTCTTTTGCATTTGCTTAAGTCCATGGTTTTGTTTTTCTTTATCTCTTGCTTTTGTTGGTTTTCTGTTTTTGGTTCTCATACAAAAATTGAACGAAGTAAAAATATTTCGAAAAAGCGTTGTTACTCTATACTTTATTCGCCTTTCATTTTCTCTGTGTATTGCTGTGGCTGCTGTTTTTGCTGTTTTGGCCAGACTCAAATCTTGGTTAACAACATTCATGGTTGAAAAAACGAGGTAGGACATTGTTTTTTTTTTAAATGTTTTTTTCTTTCTTGTTTCTCTCCGTTCTACATGGGTTTGTATAATCAAGAATTAAATTAAATAAAGCGCCTCAAATCGATTGGGGTTTGCAGGGGGTCGGGCGGTCTTGTCAAGTGTGAAATAAACTACAAATAGAAATACATATTTTGGTTATACCTTATAGACATGACTTACATACTTGTATAATCAACTAATCTAATAATTCTAAAATACATGCTCTGTCTCCTTCGTTTTCCCTTATATTTCTCGCTCTCGCTCTCTCCCAAGCCCTTTCTCTTTCACTTTCAGTTATTCTTTCTCCTTCTCTCGCGGCAGACAATAAAATTAAACAAACGGCGGAAGCGTTTTGACAGAACCGATTCAACTTAAGCTCACTCCTTTCCGCCTCCAAGTTTCCAACAGCAAATGTGTGTGTTTTTGTGGGTGGTGTGTGTTTTGTCTGACTTTTCTGTTTTTTTTTTTGACTGTGCGTTGTTCAGCAATTGCAAACAGGTGCTATAGCCAGGGACCAGACCAAAAAATTGACTCTTAGACCCGCAGAATCTCGCACGCTTTGTTGTAGCAAATGGCTATCCAGTCGGGCTGTGTGGCGCCCCACTGGATCTGATTGACTTCGCCCTCGGCAGCTGTATAGGCTAAAATTGGATCCTCTATTGCGCGTGGCATTTGTTGTATATCCCAGATCAGTGCTTGGTGATCATCACCGGCAGTGCAGATGTGACAGGAACTAGAATACAAAATGCAATGAATATTTGAGACACAATATGTAAAGTTCACGGGAAACTCACCTATGCGGCGCCCACGCAATACCGTTGACGCACGCTCTGTGATTGCTCAGTCTTGCAACGGGTGTACAAGGAACACGAACATCTAAAATTATAACTTCGCACGAGTCCATGGCAACGGTGGCTAAATAGTTCGGGTCCTGTTTGTTCCAGGCCAAGCGCAGCAGCGCCGTGTGGGCAGGATCCTGAAATGGTTACGTCAATAAATGTATGTATGTAAATGTTTCATTCCTTGCAATCTAACCCACCTCATAGATAATGGTCGAGTGCTCCAAATGCCGCAAATCAAACATGCGCACCGATCCGTCCGCTCCCACCGAGGCGAACATGTCCCGACCACCGCCTGCCCGCGAAAAGGCAATGTCGTAGACCTCCTTGTCGTGGGCAATCAGTTGCGTCTTCACGTGCCCCGCCACATAGACGCGGGCGTGCGGCTGTCCGGTCTCCAGTCCCCAGATAGTGCAAGTGGTGTCTATAGAGGAGGTGCCCACAAGATTGGGATCTACCTCGTTCCAATCAAACGAGGTAAGCGGGGCGCAGAAGTCGCTGTTCTTGTTGTTATTCAGCACGCATTCGAGCCGTGTGTCCGGCTCGCCGGCACGCCACACCCGCAGATAGTCGCCGCTGGTTGCCAGCAGATCCGGATAGACGCCTTTGGAGTCCGGTATCCACATAATCTTGGTTGTCGGATATGGATGGTCAAAGGTGCTAGTGGGAAAAAACAAGCAAAGGGGAATTACGGGAAATGTTTAGGTACATGGAATACATTTACAAAATGTTTATATTTTCAACAAACTAGTCTCATTAAAATACAATCAAGCTCGATAATTACAGACTTTGATTCTGTGATTTATAGTTGGAATTAATGAAGAAAATCTGCTTGTCATTTAGTACATACTTCTTATTTAAAATATAAGTTAGTTAGATGTCCAATTTACACTGCTTTTGCTTGCTTTTGAGTTTTTTTAACAAAATTATATTAATCCAAAATATTAAATTAGTTTTTATACAAGAGTATGTTACATTTTGACGATTTTTTCAACGGTGGATAGCTGTTTTAAGTATTTTTTTAAGTTTATGAAACAAATGGACATTTGTTTATACCAGGGACCGTAAATAACAGTTATTTGTGATTTTTATTTAAAAAAAACTACTGTGATATTTGGTTTTAAACATCAAAAATAACGTTCTTTTTACTCTTGTCCACAAAGTAGATGCATTTCAACAAATCTGGAAAGCAAATTAACTGTTATTTGTTCATGTCTATAAAGTGCATAAAAACCAGTTAAATTGTTGATTAAAACTTGTACAAATCTCAGTAGGCCTTTTAAAATAAAAATCACAAATAACTGTTATTTACGGTCCCTGGTTTATACTTATACTAAAATAATTAGTAAATAAATTTTGAGTTTGTTGTTGGTGATGGCTATCAAACTTTTACAGAGCGTAAAGTTGGATAAGAAAAAAATCATAGTTTTCACTGGAGTCTACTAGTCTACCTTTTAGCACTAAATTCGCTGGTGTCCTCGTCCAGGCTGATGATCTGCACCTTGTTGTTGTACTCCTCGATGAAGCTGCCCAGTGCGAGTCGGAATCGCTTGTCCGGCCGGACACTCCAGTTCATGGAGTACAGTGGCCATGGTGCGAGATATTTATAGATCTCCTTGCGCTTACCGGCGGTCGATGACATAACTGTGGATTAGGGAAAGGATCTGTTTGAGGATCTGAGTAGAGAACTGGGATTCGGAATCCGGATTGAGAACCAACCTGAACACTGTGATGGGATACCCAGACCAAGGCGAAGATTTAGACTTGGATGATGAGGTGCTGTTAAGTTTCCTCAAGGCCGTTTTTCTGGTGGGTGGTTGTGGGTGGCTGGCTGAATGACGACGACCCCGTTGATGATGATAATAATGATGATAGTGAGTGATAATGATGACCACCTTAGAGCAGCGGACAACTCAACAAAACGTCATGGAATGGAAAACAAAGGTCTTCGCTGGCCACTCGCATTTGCACACTCTACCGGCAGGCTTTACTTTTGGCTTATCCTGTAGCTTAGCCTTTTTCCGAAATTCACTTCATTTTTTGTGCCCTGGCAGTGCTGCCAGCTTGGCCGTTTTCCGGCTAGAATCCGCCTTTCGCCGGCGCTTTTCCGCCCAAGTTGGAGGCTGGAGAACACAGATCGGACTATCCGCAGTGTACCCAATAAACAGGGCGTGCAAATCAATCTAGCGGCGTGCACATCTCGGCCGCAATGCGTCCGTTCGGCGAGGAAATTAATATGTTCCCGGCACTCCGGAAAAGTTGGCAACACTAAAACGTAATGCGACGCGACAATTCGTTTGTGCGGCCTTTGCATTCGCAATCTGCGTCGGCTTTACCTATTGGTATTGGCAAACGACGGGCCAAACGCAATTCGCTGGGGCGGCACAAAGGCGGTAAACGGCGTTGCGCGGAATTTGTGATCGAAGAACTTTTAACAGAATCTTTTCGCAAGAATTTTCACACACAAAAACTAGAGCTGGTAGCTGTGAAGCAATCGATGCCACTATCGACAGTATCGATATTTTTAGACTTCTCGTCGTCGAAATTTGTTTTGAAAATGAATGGGGTATTCCCTATCTGCTTACATCCTTACATCCCTCTTATTATTTTAAACATTCTAAAACCCTCTTTACACAACCACCAAGCGGATTTTTGTTCACATGGAAAATAGCTAATGCAAAAACAACTGATCGGAGACGTGTAAACTTTATTTTCCTGAAAATGAAAAGGATTACAAAATTTGAATCACCAACGATTCTTTGTTTGGTTGATATCCCCATTGAATTGCCCATATCATTTCTTAAAATAGCATTTTGGGAGATGGATGTGCCTTCAAATTATTATTTTGGGAAAATTACAGAACGAGTGTAAATGTATATAATATTTTGGTGTGATGGTTGCCAGGTCTTGCCATTCCCCTAAAAAAAACATAACAAAGTCTCTTTTTATACCCGTTACTCGAAGAATAAAAGCGTATATTGTATTCAAACATGTTTGAACAATTATTAAGAATGGTAAAAAGTTTCGATTATTTTGCCATCGAAACACGCCAGGAGCAATGGTCGCGTTCAGCAGAGCAACATGATCACTGTTGGATTTCTTACGATAGTTCTGCTGAACTCGCATGATCACTGATCATGATTGTTAATTCACAAACACAAATCGCCGGAACTAAGTTTTCCGCATCCGATTTTAGGCGGCTGTCTGAAAAAGGTATTTTAGCGGAGTTACCCTCCATTGTAAGCCAGTGCACTTTCCACATCTAACGAGTATATCGATAGGTCCTGAATAACCATCGATTGTGGCTCCAGCTCTAATGCGAAAGCACCATCGCCGTGCGGTCACACTGGCCAAAATAAAATAATTTCCGATTAAAGAGTGAGTTCTGTGCTGTGCTAAAAATTGCTTAAAATCAGCCGAAAATAAACGCTTTGCGATGCGAATCGAGGCTGGTGCTTGCCTGGCATCAAAATTGGTGGGCGTGCGGATGAGACACGGGTTTTTTCGGCGCGACCTCGTTCGCCTGGCGATGTTCGTTTTGCGGTCAAATTTTTTCACCCCTTCCGCTTCTATCGCACGCTCCTATTTGAGTGCGATTATTATATATTTTTTATTTTCTTGTGTTCTGAAAAATTTACAACAGCCATCGTCGCCGTCGTCACTTTTCCACTTTCCATTTTGAGAAAGATATTTCACTTTGCGTAATTCGTACGCTGCCTGCTGTGTGTGAGTGTGTGTGACTGTGTCGCCAATAATGCTATCTCGCTTGCCCGCATGGTCTTTTCGCTGTTTTACTACTACTCCTGGCTCTCCCCCTTTCCCTCTCACATTTCACTGCCAAACATGCGCGAGCGTGTGTGTGTGCGCCTTTTATAAATAGAATTTCATTTCGTTTCGTTTTTATATTTTGTTGTTGGTTTTATCATAATTATTTCGATTTTCGACGTGCAGAGGATGTATGAATTTTTTATCCAATGAAAGCGCTTTAAACGTGGTAACCGTGGAAAAAGTTTGGTTCAGCTGCACCTTCGTGTGTGCGTATGATTGAGTGAACTTGAAGAATTTCATTTATTTTTGTTAGGTGTGTGTGTGTGTGTGAATGGACTACAGTGTAGTTGTAGTATTTTATGAACGAAAGATCGATTCATGAAAGTGTGGCCATTTTATAATAGTTATTAAGGGAATATCTACGGTTCTCTCGTAGGGGAACGTAGACTGCCTGGCGGCACACAAACATACACACACTTCACTTCGTTTTGAGTGTTACCGCATAAGGCCTACCATCTCCCTCTTCAACCCCACCACTGTTATTGTTGTTATGACAAACTTGAAAAACGTTTTTTTTTTCTATTTATTGTTATTTTGCAATTGTAAACAAGTGACGCAGCAGCTGATCGGTTTTCCACTTTCCGCCTAACTGTTTACTATTATCAGGGACAAAACGAAGGCCGCGAATGCTCGATATGCAAAAAACAACAAACTGCTAAAATTATTCTCAGTGTTTTCAACGATTAATTAATTGATGATTGTGTGTGTGCGGGCCTCGCGCTGGTGAAAAATCAATCGCGGGGAGGGCGGTGAGGAAGTGGCAGAGCGCGTTCCCCTTGAAAACTTTCGCATTATCCTTGGCATCCCTCAACATTTTAGAAAACCTTCCGCCTAATAGGCTACCCTTTTTCCGAGAAAGTAACGGGAAAAAGGAGATGGACTTGGAAACGGAAATGTTTTTGCATATTAAACAGTGATTTACTCGTAGAGTAAAAGGGTATATTGTATTCGTGCAAAAGTATCTAACAGGCTTCCGACCCTATAAGGCATATATATTCTTGATCAGGGACAATAACCGAGTCGATATAGCCATGTCTGTCTGTATAAACGCTGAGATCTCGGACACTACAAAAGCTTGAAGGTTGGGATTAATCAACCATATTATTGGGCTTCCTACGCAGAGCAAGTTTGTTTCATCCGAGCAGATTTTATAAAAGTTTAAATGTAAAAAGCTAAATGTTTAAATATTCTGTTTATTAATACCTATCAAAATGTAGAAAAAAATTTTAAAATCGAACAATCCATTAAAAAATGATGAGCAAAAAATTAAATGGCCACTAGATGGCGCTGACGACTGAGTATCTCCATCTCCCTTAAAATTTTATAAAATGTTTTAAATATTAAATTAAATTTATAGTTGAATTTATAATTGTTTTAAATGATGTGTTCTCTTATCTTTAGTGTATTGATGTACCTAAGAAACATAACGGATTTTGGTTGGAAAAGATTTCTTCTGTTTTCCACCCGTATACATATGTATGTACGTATGTATATTCATAATTAAGTTATTTGACCATATTTTATCGTAAGCCTGTGTTACCTTAACTATTTTTAATACATTTATTTAAATTGGGTTGTTTACTCCTTGATTGTCAACAAACACAGCTGATTGGCGGTAGGAGTGGTGAATTCTGAACAAATTCGGACTCACTACAAGGAATACAAATTTTCCACTATCAAACATGTTTTTCTATATGATTACTACTTATAGGCATTTTCCGTAAAATTGAATGCACTGTAGTGGTTAAGGTTCCCCAAATTTTGACATATCGCATATGTGAAAACTGTAGCTTTTGAAAGTTATTGAGCAATAACAAGAATGGAAGCAAACTTCGGGCAGCCGAATACTTTTCGGAAAGTTTCATTGTGTCTCCGTAACTGCGTTGCAAACTTATGACTGAAATTATCAAATATAATAATAATATTATAATTATAATATACTAATAAGGCCTCATCTGATTTTCTTTCCAGTTTTGTCTACAACTTAAGCAGCAACGGAACGGGTCATAGATGTAGCACATAGGCATCAATTAAGTTTAAACTAATGCTAGGCAAATAATTCAAGGATAATGTAAAATAACGCGACGCAGGTGGGTAGATTTATACATGAATTTCGAAGATAAAACTTGATATTAATGCACCGAAAACCCCATAAAGACGACGAAAACAGAGAAACGGAAGCAAGACCAACAGGAACCAGCCGCTCAGCAATACAACGTGCTGCAACCAGAACTAATTAAGGACAATCTCAACTTCAACCTGAATCCGGGGTTTGATCACTGCCGCTGCTGCCACTAATATGCGTGTAATTGCGCCGCGAAGATCGTCAACGTCAGCGGCGGGCAGCGGCAGTCTCTACGGCACATCGTCAGCCGGCACCTCCGGCGACAGCAGCACCAGCGGCAGCCACCACATCAGCAGCTCCAGCAGTACCACCACCGGCAGTGGTGCGGTGGACCGGTCCAGCGGAGGCGCCACCACGAACGGTTATTCCCGCTACTCGAGCAGCTACGACCGCGGTAGCAGCCTATCCAAGTGGCTGCCAACCTCGTCTGGCGGCTCCAGCTCGTCCGGCTACGGCAGCAGCTACTATCCCAGCTCGTACTCCACGTACTCAGCCAACAGCTCCTCTAGCTCGTCGTATGCGCCGCGCTCCAGTCTGCAGAGGAGCAGCGTTGGGTCCACCTCGTCGTCGTCGTATCTGAGCGGCGGTTCCGGTACCAGCTCGTCCGCATACCGCACCACCTCCTCGTATCTGAGCAGCTCCAGCTATGATTCACCTACGTATAGCCGATACGGAGTGAGTTTCACCTTAACTTCTTTATTATGTTTAACTCAATTTACGATACACCCATCCTGAATTATGGTCGATTACTCTTAAGTTTGGTGGCTGATCTCTTGGTTTTCAGTTATTCATATCTCTATACGATTAAGTATCCTGTATGCTGGGCCCTTGGTATAACTCTACTCACTTCCCCTATCCCCGAAATCATCATGCGTTATGTATCTGCATATTTGGTGAAGTCGCGTATAATTTCAAAGATTGTTCATCGTCCACATACAAAAAACGCTCGGTAATGGGTGTGAAGGCATTTTACTAGAAGTAGAACCTTGAAATCATTTTTTTGTTTCATGTTTTCTGCACTATTTGGTCAAAAGTTACAAAATATTTCAGCAGGAATTTGAATTATTTATGTTATACGCCACTTCAAAGTCTGCAATGAACCTAATGGAATCTAGTCAGAAAACAAAATTGCCTAAATATGTCAATACAGTCAAGAGTGATAAGATTATTGTGAAGCCGGGTTTTTAAAACCTTAACATGTAATTAAGAATCTAAAAGGCATACTTTATAGATAAAAAATGCATTCGAGTTCACTCAATTATATGACCTTCAACCATTTCAAGAGCTTTCATTGTCATTTACATCGTAATGCGTGCATCTCTGCAACCAGATATATCAGCTCAAATATTTCATTAGTTGGTAACCCGCTTTCGGTTATTTGCATTCGATCCCGACAACACAATCCCACAACAGACTACACTCACACAAGGCTCATGGTTCATGCGACCTAGCGCCCCGATTTGTGGTGATCATTTTCCTGCCTTCGGACCCAACCTCGCCCACTCCAAAGTATCCGTAAAAATCCCGCCCATATTCTTGA